AAACAAGCTCTCATATTGAAGTTGCTATTGTCATGTAAGCACCACTGAGGAATATACTTAAACACATCTGTTGAATGGGTTTTTCATAATTTGCCTATTATTTTCCCTTCTTATGTAATTTTTCCCATTATTGCTTTCAAGATTCCATAAAAAAAGTTATTCAAAATATCAGATAAACAACATCTAGAGACAGCTGTGATATCAAAAAGCTCTTACAAAAAGTTTTTCTTTTTTTCATGAATATAATTTACAAGCAACAATGAGATAGATTGTACTAAGTTCCTTAAAGAATTGTAGAATACACATCCAATATTTCAGAAATTAAAGAAAAAACCTCTTGTGCTGAGAAGAAGATGCAACAATTCCCTGATCTTCCTGGACTCCTTATCTTTCCCAAGAAAGGCAACAAAATTATTCTGGTTTTACTCATTCCTCAAAGTACTGCTCTTGGCTGGATATCAGGTGCAATTTATGTTCTACCTTTTTCTCAACTGTCTGTAAAAACCATTTTCATGCAACAAAAGATACACAGTCCTTCAATAAGAAACCCAATCCCTCAAAGTATAAAAACTTCTACTCCACTTTCATCATTACTGCATGGTGATTCTCATCTTATTTGTATAACCTGACAGGAGAACAATTACCTCAAAAAGTAAGAAAACCCTTCCTTCAAAATTTCTAAAGATTTAGCATGGAGGACCGGGCAACTTAAATACAACAACTTAAATATGCTTCACCACTAGCAGTTTCCAGAAACTGCTAGTGAAATGAACTGAATGGAACTGAAACAATACAGCTCAGCTGATGAACACGGTGCAGGTGTAATTTCTTAACAAAACTCTCCCGCCATGTACCAACAAGAACATCACCATACACAAAAAAATGTGAGGGCTCCGAGAACAGGGGCAGATTTGCACCAGCTGACTCGAGCACGGGCCTCTTCCAGCAGCAGCATACATGGTCAGATCCATTCATCCCAGCAGCTCCAGTCTTAGCTAACAAGAGAGCTCTTTCACCAGTAGGAGTTAGACATGTCAAAGCATTTAAGATCAGAAATTAAAGTCAGCTTGCTTGTGCTCCCCAGAGCTATCCCAAGTTGGATTACTGCAATCCCTTTCCAAAATTATGACTGGGGGAGAAACTTGCTCTGTTGAACTATTAGCCTCCATAAAAGAGGTGATTGAGATAAGATCCCTGCTACTTTTTGTCAACTAAAGGCCATCAATATGTAACTGCTACCAAAGGTGAGGCTGTACTGCAGTTTGCAGGCACTGCTCTTTGGGATACTGACCCAGTAACACCAGTGCTGCTGCTGCTGTGGTTGCTTCAGTTGTGGTCTGTGCTAATACAGATACAGAAATTTTAGGCTGCAGCATGTAAATATTGTATGAGATAGATCACAAATATCCTTACAAAGTACATGTTTATATAACAGATGCCAAATATTTTTTCAGACTGAGTATTCTAGCAATTGTGCTTAGCAAGGTTAACCATATACACATTTCTGCCACATGCCTTTGTGCACATCTCACTTGCAAGACCTTTCTGCACCTGTGAGCATTATGCCTTCAATAGCATTACTAGTTTGAGCACTGGATAGGTATTTTGCTTCTAAACACACACATACTACCCTGAAAAAGCATGACTCACAGTATATATACAAGTAGGGGGTGAGAAATGCTGCCTCTGCAAAAACATGTGCTCAATACTCATGCCTACTTTAAAACTACATCAGACAAGTGACACAGCAACCACAGTATGATTTTACATGCACATGTAAGATTACTGTTTGTGGCATTACTGAAAGGAAAGCCATAATTAGAACATGGAAAGAAAGATCTGAGCAAACATCCACATAAAAATCTCTCTGGTAATTAAAGAAGTCATACTGCTCTCTGCTTCAAAACCAATAAACAAATTATCTGAAGAAAGCTAATAACAAGAGCTGTAGTATACTTGACTTATGTCATGTTGCATTTTAAATAAAATATTGATTTAATAATGAAAAAACATCAATGAAGATTTGGAATTTTTTCTTGTTTTTAAGGAAGTTGGTGATGAGATGAAAGTTGTAACAACTCCAGACAACAAGAGAGAAGGAAGAATGGTGACTTTTACTAGGTGGCAGAAAGATCCATTATCTTTTTGAAGATTCCTACCTTACATCCTTCAAAAGGATTGTTATGGATTTTACTCTCCTAGTTTTCCTTTCTTGCAATGCATTAATGGGTTAACTTTTTTAATGAATGCCATTATTACAAATTAAGTAATTTTCATTTTTTATACTAATTTTCCTAAACTTGTCTCCTTCATTAAATTGATAGAATCAACCTTCTCCCTTTTGCATTTGGGAAGTCTAGATCTGCACAGTTGAGATTGTAAAATACCTTAGGGACTTAAAGCTAGACAGCAGGCTGATAGCAGGCAGACACTGAATTAAAGCTCTGAGTACTGCTACTGGACCTTCATTTTTTTCAGGTATAAACACATTTGCAAAATACTAAATGTAATCTCAGAGAATATTACATTTGCATTATAAATGCAGACAACTCCTGTCCAGTTCTGGTTAGTTTATTTTTAGTTTAGTTTTCCTCAGTAAAGTGTGAAGCATACTGTTTTGTATGTATTCAAAAAATGCTTCACAGACTTTACTTTCCTAATATAAATGTAACAGCTAGCTGAATACACTATTGCATTTGTTGTTACACCATTTCTATTAGCAGTTTCCAAACAGTGCTGCAAAATTTAAAGTCAATTGTTTCCTACATTTTGCCAGTTTACCTGTTTTAACCTTAATTTTATTCTGACACGTTATTAATGTGAAATTATTACTCTGACAAAACTACCTTACAATAGGACACAGGCCAGAGACATTCTCATTAAAACATAACTGATTCAATGTTTGTACTATGATTTTACAGAGACCTTGGAACATGTGGTATTAAAGAAAGCCTGGGTTGTCAAACTTTGCAGAAAAACAATGTTTTCCCATCACATTTTGAAGCTGCACTGCTGGTCAAAGATAGCATTGCATTTGAAAAGCTGCATCTTTTCATGGCCTAGCCACATCATATGAAGATATTCAGGAGATGTGGGGAAAGAGATAAGAAAGCACTTCTGAAGGAGAAGACAAATTATGAGATGCAAGATGTGGAGTACCAAAACTGAACATTAACTGCTGAAACTTGGATGCTGTTTAAGCTTTCGGGAGCTGACAGCTGTAACAAAACTGAAATTTACATGTACATCAGTCCACATCCACTGAGCACAACATCCAGTCAGGAGGTGTTAACATGTTCACGAGACTGACAAGCCCAGAGGAGAAATGCAGCACTCTGCTATCACAGGTGAGTTCATACCAAAAAAGTAAGGTAACACATATGCCCCAAACCATAACCCTCTAAAATTACTCAGCTTTATTTCCTTTAATATTTTATGTGCAATATTTGATTTGCATTATCTTATTTCTTGTAAACAGTAGCTTGTTTAAGAATGAAAAAAATATTAAACTTGCACATAACAGGTGTATGACCTGTAGAGCAGTGATAAAGTAAGGACAGCAGGAATTTTCTTTTTAAAAGAAAAACCTGCAACTATGCAATACGGATATGTCTGCACATTGTTCCAGTGATTTTAAATGCAGTTTTCAATGTATGAACAAGGGAGGTGCTGTTGAGTTCCAGCATGTGAGCAGAATCCACCTGCCATAATCCTGATTTGGGCAGCAAAGATCTTGCACAGATGCAGGATGAGTTACTGTCTCCTGCTGCGAGCGCCTGGACTTATTGCACTCGGCAACTGCTCTCGTGGGATCAAGTACAGTCAAACAATACCAAATGTAAAGTGCATCATGAAAAACACATGGGTGGCATGAGGGGAAAGCATGATTAAGAATTTAGGATGATTTCCTTTCTTTGCCTTTTATGCAGGGAATACTTCATGAGGCTTTAGACCCTGGATGTGTATTTGCACAAAATAAAATGTTTGCTTACCGCAAAGGTTTACAAACAGTAGTCATCTGATGGGACTTTTGTTACAATTATTCTTATTATTTTGGTTTAAAGACGAGAATACCTATACAGAGAAACATAACATCTGTTTAATATCTATTACTAGATGTAAATAGGAATTAAAATTCAAAATCTATTTTGTCCAGTTTTTTCCTCTTTTGCCATAAAGTACCTTTTATATTTCAACTGAAATAAGCATACTTTTTTTTCATGTAGCATTTGCTGTTGGCCATTGAGATTATTTTGGCACAAGTTTTGTAAATAACAGATTTATTATCAGATTTATTCATCGACTGGATGTTTTTTTACACTCTAAGTCCTTGTAATTCTCTTTGTGAGAATAAAAGGATAGTCTGTCATAAAATAATTAAAAACACTGAGGACTTTTTTTCAACTAGTAAGAATATTAATTGGGTTCACCATCAAAATGTGATAACATGTAAAATATCTTGTTTTGCATGTTAATGTGCCATAATTGCACAGAGCTTTTCAACTTCAAAACTCTTTACAAGAATTAAGTGGATGTCCCCGGAGGCCTTAAGCAACATTTTCTTTGCCTTCAAAAAGAAGATTTGCACCAGACAAAAGCTTTGTGAAAAACACAGAACTGGGCTTTGTTTTTTCAGCCTACTGCCACTGCACAGTAAGATAAAATATCACTTCCATTTTGCAGATGGAGAAAAACGGGGAACTTAATGGGACCATCCCTGCTCATCTCACACTCGGTACTTTACATCAGTAGTGATGCACTGAGACAGTGAGAAACAAAATGCAACTCAGTTTTCCAGAGCCATGCCAACATACATCTCAATTATTTACTTCCCCACCAAAGACCAAGCTACTGACAGTCCAGTGATTAGCCCCTACTGCAACCACCCGACAGTTAGTTTGCTCAAGCACGCATGAAGAGAAAAAAAGCATTTGCTAGAATTCAAAGGCTATTACCTGGTACTTGACTTCATTAAAAGACTTTTGAAAAGTCCCAAAACCCAGGAGAGAAATGGTTATTCCTTTATGTCAGACTGAAACCTATCACATATCACTACGCAGTATTATCACACTGAACTTTCTTTTCATTGCATTTTAAACCACGCTACAAATAAGAAACTGCTACAGATGTTCACAATATTGGTGCTAAAGAATGAGTATTATTTCAGCACCCTTTGCCATAAGAGTATTTTTGGTGAGTACAAATAAGACCAACAAATATTCCTCTTTGTACTTACCATGTGATTTTTATGCCACTTCATGGGACACAGGGTGTAATACATTGGGTCTTTTTATTGCTCAAGTAGAAAGTGCTCATTACCTATTTATGTTTATATATAGGAAAAAGCAAAGAGTTATTACAAGGGGCATACTTCACACTGTTGTAGTGGTTGATTTCCTCAAGATGGTCTTCTGGGGTTTTGGCGCAGTTTGTGGAGGCACAGTTGCAGGTCTCGGAGGAGGAAAGCTATTACTGGGACTTATCCCCAACCCTCCATTTTCCAGAAGAAATGGAGGCAATGGAGGTGGAGGAGGTGGCAGAGGAGGGCACTGGTGTGGCAACTTTCCTGCAACCCGGGCCGGCTCGCTGTGCAAGTGCACGTCCCTGTTTTTGATGTTATAGCGAACGTCACAGTCGGGGCAGTAGCCGTGGTACTGCACTTTCTCACTGAACCGTACGCGCTCCCTCGCCCCCGCCTGGGGACACCGCTCCTTCTCAGCTCTGTGCACCAGCGGCTGCATCACCCCTTTCTCCAAGTTACTGTTGGGCATGCAGCACACATCTCCATTTGGGATGCGGCCGGGCCCGACAGGCAGGCCCCCGTTCCGCAGCAGGGTGCCATTGGTCTTGAGTGGGTTGGCCAAGGGAGGCAGCCTGGGAGGCTCATCACACTTGACGGGTGTCAGTCGAGGGGGAGGAGGCGGCGGGTTCGGCTTGCGCAGCACGGTGAGGATGGCAGAGGGGTGTGCAGGGGGCTTGATGAGGGGCGCACTGCTCCGAACCTTGACCTTCTCCAAGCTGGAGGCGGTTGTGCTGCTGGAGCTGCTGTTCAGGGTGTCTGTTTTGGAACTGTCTGTCATCTCTTCCTCCAGCTGCAGATCACATGTCAGTGTGTCAATCTGGTCAACCACCTGCACAACAGCCAGAGTGAGAACAGTGAGAAAAGCATACCTCAGAGAAGGCACAGAAAAATAAACCATTCTCCACATTTCCCCAAAACTGAAGCACCCAATTTTTTTTGACCATTATTTCTTTTTTCTTGTCAACGTAATAAAATAATCATAATAAAAATGATGACAACAAAAATAATAAGGATGGCTAGCTTGCTAGCCCATCACCTGAATACATGAGAAATATAACTTGAAACAGTCTAGAATGAAATTCCCTTTCTTTCCCTCCAGGGTTTACTTGGTAATATCATAGTGAGTGAAGTGTAATTCTTCAGTATTATGCTTTGCCTTCCAGTGCAGAAGGAGACAAAATTGTTCAGCTTTAGCTTCTACATGACAGCTTCTGAACCCAAAAATTCTGCAGAGTATCTTTTAGCTCTGACCTTGCAAACGCTCTAGATTTAAATTTGCATTCTCTGTATAGGTGATATTATACACCTAGAATCATAAGTTTGATACACAATTTTCTGACAATTTTTTAACATAAAAGAGACTCTGAGAAACAAAATCTCTCTTGTTACCTCCCTTTATGAACATTTTCCATAAGATCTGAAATCGTCCAAAACAGTCCCGAAACAGCATTTGCTGAAAGAGAAAATGTTGCTTGGTTTCCACTCACAAGTGTTTAAGAATTCATGCACTTTATTTGAAGTTTTCCTCTACCTCCCAGAATTCTGTTTTTAGATTCTCCACTGTTAGAATCTTTTCTAGTCTTCAAGACTCCCGTTTCTACTGATTTTTTTTTATAGGGCATGAAACCAACGGGGCGCTCACTTGGTAGAGAAGTTTCTACTATGACAATTAAAAGCCCTTCCTGAAAACTGTACTTAACTCAGTACCCAGTGTAGTTACAAGCTACACATCACTGCAATAGATACCACAGTAGCACTGTGGTATCTGAAGTAGCTGAAGTAGCACTGGGACACATTTAAAAACTGATCTCTGTCCTTCACAGCCTCCCAGAATGTACGTAAAGTAATCAGTAGCTGAAATGTTGCTAACTAACTGGTGCATGAATAAAAACCTGTGCCATTGCTTTGGGTCCTTCTGGGAGATCTGTGATGTTCTGGAGGAGGCAACCAATACAACCCAAATGAAAACAGATGTAGCCATTGTGCCACAGAAACTTTCATTTCTACTTTCTGCTTTCAATAATTTGGTGCTGATACTACTGATTTCAAACTAAGACTATTTTAGGCATATGAGCCACATAATAACTGCAAAAAATGTGAAAGTCACTCCTAAAGGCAGTGACTCTCTCTTCAGCCAAATCAGTCCCCTACTTATGTACCCAGTAGTAAAAGGTAAACAATAAAAGCAAAACCACAATAAAATGAAAAAGCACTCCAGCTTTCACTGCTCATACAGTAGGCTGAGTTGCATAATACAAAATTCATAAAAATTCATATGCAGCAATTTAGTTTAGTGCTTTCCTCCTTTTAAAACCAGCAAACATGCAAATAAGCATCATTCAGAGAGCTTTCAAGCATCTTTGAAAAAAAAAACCCAAACTTTACAATACTTTTTCTCTAAAAGTATTGCAAACAACTAATTTATTCAATATTCTAAGTCCAGTATCATGTTGCATTTAAATTTTTATTTTTTCATTAAAAAGAAAGAAAGAAAAGAAAAAATATGCCCTTAAAACACAGAAATTAAATCCCTGAAATAGCAAGGATTAAAAAAATTATTCTCAAAGTTGAAACTACAGTTGAACAGTTGAACTCTAGTAACTGCCAGATCCCACACATCCCCTCCAGGGTAGAGCATGTAAGAACTCTGGAAAATTTCAGAATAAAGGTAGACAAATCCCATCTGTACCAAAATTCATTCCAAGAATGACAGTTTACAAGTGAAAGAACTCATTATCACCTTCCATTGCATAAGCAAAATAAGGCAGAGGGAACTTCTCAGAAGGAAAAGGGAACAAAGAAAAGAAAATCAAGTTCTGGACAATAAGCCTGAAATTTAAACATCCCTCTGCAAGCTAAGTGGGGATTTGTGTAAATATAAAGGTCTGCCTATATGTATCTAAATATCTTATTGCATCCTACCATCTTTTATTAAACTATAACAGTGATAGAATGGATTGATGCAACATAAACCAAAAAAATTCCTTGGCAAGCAAAGAAACAGAAAAATTATGCAGAACAAAAATTTTCTCAAGACTAACAGGAAAGTCTGTTATGAACTACCCTTCAAGTTAATGACTACAGAGTTTATCTCATGTCTTCTGGGCAAATATGTAGTACACATTAAATTTTTTTTTGTCACTTATCCGTTTGTAGAACATAAATCCAGCATGAAATGGCTCTGACACAACACAGTTTATCTGTCCAGATTCATTCCCACCACGAGTTGTGAGTCTGTGTACTGTTCTTTTCTTTTGCTTTTTTGTCCCAGAAGGTAAATTCAAGTAAGATAAAAAAGCAACATGAGAACCCATGACTAACACAGTGAAACTATTGCAGTTAAAAAGAAAAAAACATTTTGAGAAAAAAAACATCCCTTGTTTCACAGTGCATCTTCTATGGAAGTAAGAGAGAGAATGTTAATTTAAAAAAAATAAATAAAAAAGGTGCCCTAGTTGTGCAGAAATGTGTCCATTTTTTTCATTTCTGAATAAAACAGACTTGATTCACATGTACAAATATTGAGGATACATAATTTTATAGTCCAAGGAGCCCTTTAGCCATTAACTGGATTTGAGCTCTGCAGATATGCCCACTTCTACCCTGCCAGCAGTATGCTGAGGCTTCAAGCTCTTTAGAATCCAGTGTGACACTCCTGAATGAACCAGGACATCAGTCTATTCTGATCTTATCTAAGATATCTAATTATCTTAACAATATTAGGTGCCCAGAGCTGGATTTCTCTACCAAAATATAAGATTACACCCTTAGCAACATGCATTTGGACTCAGAAATTCTGTGTTGCAATTAACAGAGCATAGAGAATTAATCAGTAAAGTCAAATTCAGGTAAAAAGGAAAAAAAAAATACTATTCAACCCAAAAAAACCCCAAATCCCAAAATGTCCACTGAAGCTGCAAACAATTTGCAATGAAAAGATATTTTACAGTTAACCCAATCCTCAATATTACCAAATTTTTGTATGAAGTTGCTTAAAAATATAGAGCTAGCATAAAGTATTGCTTTTCCACTGAGGTCAAACTGCAGTTCCTGTTTAAAAGAACTTCAAAATTTAGTCCAAGAAAAAGTCTTGTGATTATCAAAACAACCTATGCCGACCTAATATTTCCATTGTTTGAGCTGTACTTGTAAGTTTTGTCTAGTTTTTAGCTCTTCTGTTGAAGACCTTTTGTGGGCAAATGTCCTAACTTGATTAGACCAATACTCAAAAGCTCCGTATTTCTCACAGGATGCCAGGATCTCATTCCAAAAATCTAACTTTGTAACCATAAGAATAAAATGTGACACAGAAAGCAACACGTACTTGTACTTCTTACTTGTATTAATAAACTTCTCTGGAAAGTGTCTCTACAATTAGTCACAAACACTTTTTTTCACTGTTTCTTCTTCACTGTGCAATTATCTAATACACGTCCAAAGTACATCTATGGAGAGTTTTGTCTCCTTACAATGAATGTTTCACCAGGTTTGTTTTTCCTCCTATTTAAAAGAAGGTACCAATGTGCAGTGAATACAGAATCCGCTGTCTGCCCTCAATCCACCACAAACAGTTGTTGAGCTTTTTTTGTGACACTTAAATAAAAAAGAAAATTGCTTTGCAGGTAGGAAATGAATATAAACTTAAAGATTCATGATTTTTAAAGTTCACAGAAGTAAAAAGTTGTAATATTTCTTAAGATGTTCAGCCATTTGCATTTTTAAAATGTTTTTCAAGAATTCACATGGATTTACTAACCTTTTTTTTTAATTACTTGCTTCTATACAGGCTTCTATACAGCTCTCATAAAAACTGCATAAGCAGGATGGAACTTAGGTGGTATTACTTCTGAGATGGAATTGATATAATTCATACATTTCTCTTTTGTACTACACCATAATTATACGCAGCTACAAGACTTAAAATTTTGCTGAAGTTCACCAGAAAATGAATAGTTATAGACAGATACTGAATTTTATTTTAAATCAACCAAAATCAAATCATGTCATGAGACAAGTTCTTGTTTTGAACTAAAGAAATTTGTGGTAAAATGAACAAAATTAGGTGGACAAAATAAATGGAATAAAATGTATTTTTTTTTAAACAATGCCAAAAACTTGCAAAATTTGACATAGACAAATATTGCACCTTTTGTGCAAAAATTAGCTACCTGACACGCCACAAAAATAAATATGCAATCGAGAGTAAAAGAGCAATCAGCTCTACCATGAAGAGGCTGCTCTTGCCTTTAAGTAAAGACTGGGAAATATTGCACATCAGTAGCTCTAACATCTCATGATTGCATCTCTAATCCTTCAAGAAATTGTTCACTCACTACAATTACTATCAGAATCTTCTAGAAAAGCTGACAAACTATTTACATTCCCATCACTTTAGCTTATGATTTCCTGTGCAGTTATTAGATCTTGTTGACAATAATGAGTGTTCAATATATATGGGGAACGTGAGATTAGCCCAGCTGGTCAGATCATGCTGCTAATAATGCCAGGGTTCTGGGTTTGATTTCTGCTTGGACCATCCACTTTAGAGTTGGCTTTGATGATTCTTGTGGGTCCCTTCCAACTCAAAATATTCTTTGATTAGTTCTGTGATATCCAAGGACACAAACAAAACTTGTTTCTTACCAAGTGCCTGTAAATCCCAAAAATGAGTTAAAAATGAATGAAACAGAGGTCCCTGTTAACAGTGAGAGAACCAATATCTCCCTTTACAGTTTAAGATGCATAACAGCAGAATAATAACGTTTTCTCAGGTGCTTGCATTTCAGCTTCATTCCATGGTCATATCTTTTGTATTTTCCTACAGCAAAT